TCAAGCCGAGGCGATCGGGTGTCTGCAGCAGCTGCATCTGTTCGCCTGCAAGTCCCTGCAGCTGGACTCGCTGGTCCCGACGCTGGTCAAGATGCTCGCCAGCAACTACTTTATCCTGCGCAAGGCGGCAGTCTCATGCCTGCGCCAGCTGGCGCATCGCGAGGCGAAGGAAGTGTGCGAGCTGGCGCTCACCATAAGCCCGGAGCAGTGTCCGGACCTAGTACTAACCGAGTACGGACTCCCCGGGCTGCTCTTCTCGATGCTGGACACCGAAACGGATGCCGAAATGCTGAAGAACATCCACGACACCTTGACCTCCATGCTGCAAATGCTGGCGGCAGACAATCTCAGCTCCTGGCTGAGCCTATGCAAGAATGTGCTCACGGTGGCCGTGGAGGGCGGCCTGGCCGAGGACAGTCCACCCACTGGGGCGGATCACGCGAACAAGGATCACACGTCGGGGCAGGAGGAGGACGACGACGAGGAGGAGGAGTATGCCGACGATGTGACCGAGTACAGGGCGGAGGAGAACACCTCCACCCATCCGGCAGTACAGCCCCGCTGGCCGACCCGCGTCTTTGCCTCCCACTGCGTCCGGAGGATCATCTCCAGCTGCGAAGCCTCCAGTCCCATGCACTTCGACCTGCTCCAGGCCAAAGAGCAGCAGATGATCAAGTCCCGAGGCGACTACCTAATCCTTCATTTGGCGGAGCTCATCCGCATGTCCTTCATGGCGGCCACCTCCGACTCAGACCAGCTGCGGCTGGAGGGACTGCGCACCCTCCAGGAGATCATCGATCGCTTCGCCAACGTCCCAGAGCCCGAGTTTCCCGGCCACCTGCTGCTCGAGCAGTTCCAGGCGCAAGTGGGGGCCGCCCTGCGTCCCGCTTTTGCCCCAGACACGCCCTCCCACGTGACGGCTGCCGCCTGTGAGGTGTGCTCCGCGTGGATCGGCTCGGGAGTAGCGCGGGACATCAGCGACCTGAGACGCGTCCACCAGCTGCTCGTGAGCTCCCTCAGCAAGCTGTACACGAAGACGAACAGCACCCAGCTGTACAACGAGTCCATGGCCACGCTGGAGAAGCTGAGCATCCTCAAGGCTTGGGCCGAGGTCTATATTGTGGCCATGATGGGCAACGGCAAGGCGCCGGCCTCCCTCCTCTCGCTGCAGTCGCAGCAGACCGCCGCCGTCCAGTCCCTGACCGCCGTGGAGGCGGATGTGGACCAAGACCCCACACCCGACAGCAGGGGCGAGAGTCTGCTGGGACTGGTGCAGCCGGAGCTGCATAATCTGTCCACGCACTGGCTGAACGCCATGAAGGACCACGCTCTGCTGCTGCTGCCGGCCGAGTTCCAGTCGCAGCTGCCGCACGATGGCGGCGCCTTCTACACCACGGATACCATAAACTCCTCGAAGCCGCATTACATGACCAGCTGGCCTCCGCTGCTGTACGCCTCGGCCCTGTGGCTGCGGGACGAGGGCTTCGCCCGACACCAGGAAACAGCCGCCAGCTCATCGGCGGAGTCCAACAACAACCACATAACGCACGGCTCCCTTTCGGCGGACCGATTCCACATGATATTCGGCATCTGTATGGAGGCCCTGTGCAGCATGCGCAGCTCGGAGAAGCCCAAAAACATCGTCAGCTGCCTGCGATCCCTGCACAGCATCTTCGACTCGAAGTGGGCGCGCCAGCAGCTGATCAAGGATCGAGCCCTGACCATCGAACTGTGTCACGTGCTGCACCGACAGATCCTGACGCGCGACGAGCTGTTGGTCCAGCTGCTGTGCGTGGAGATCCTCAAGCAGACCATCCAGGCGGCGCGCGAGGATCTCGACAACAGGCGCGACGACAACGCCAATGCCGAAGACAGCCTGCAGCTGGGCGAGGACAACTCCATGCAGCCCGGCAGCTCGCACGTGTACGCCGTCCTGGAGGTGTGCCTCTGCCTGTTCGTCCGCCAGATACCGAGTATGAACCCAACCAAGCAGAGCGGCTCGGGCCTCCAGCTGGACTACGCCTACGCCAAGTTCCACTCCACCGCCTCCTTCTTCTCCGTCCTGAGCGACGACAGTGGTCTGCTGGTAGCCAGTGGGCTGCAGTGCGTCGAACAGCTGTTGGATCTCTGCACGCCACGCGGAGCCCTCACCATTCTGCCCACCATCCTGTACATGACCACTAGCATCATCAAGGAAATAGCCAACAAGTCCGCCATAGACAGCAGCATCCTGGCCAACACCAGCGCCGTGCAGGCGGCGCTTCAGTGCCTGCGCTCGGTCTGCGTGCATCGGTGGTCGCGGCAGGCCGACACCGCCGAGGACTGGCAGCAGCTGCTGCAGAGCGCCTTGGCTACCGTCATAGATCTCACCAAGACGGCTGGCGACAACGAGGAGCGCAGAGTGGATGAGGTCACTATGCTGCTAGCCATCGCCGTCTTCATTCTCCATACCCCAGCCTCCGTGGTGGCCGCGCCCTCGCTGCAGTATCCTTGCATCAACCACTTCCGGCAGTGCCTGCAGTCCGAGCACCTGTCGGTCAAACTGAAGTGCATCGAGACCACGCGCTCCATTTTCGCCAGTGCCGAGCTGAAGACGGCCACCCCCTACATCCACGCCCTGGCCCCGCGCATCATCGAGTCCCTGTACGCGGAGTCCAGCAAGACGCCAGCCAGCGAACTGGAGCTGCAGGTCACCCTGGAGAGCATTGTCACCGTGGAGCAGCTGATCGATCTGGCTGAGCCACAGCACCGTAAGTGCTCATGTTTAAGGCGATTACTGATCGCTCTCTCGCGTTGTCTTTCCATTCGGGGTATTCCTGTTCATCAAGTCATGGAGCCTTATTCTGGGATTGATCATTTCTCTTCTGCCTATAAATAGCATTATTTTCCATTTTTTCCGCTACTATCTGCTTAATTTCTCGTTGCTGTGTCACTGGGTTTGGCGCTTGTCCACAAGATGAATAACGCCCATACATTCCTATGGACAGTCGTAGGCTGTCGAGAGAGTGGCCGATCTCGAGTAATACCTTCTGGCTTTCCAACCAAATCCTAAATATCCTAAAGAAATCGTGTACCATAGAAATGTATGGGCGTTATTCATCTTGTGGACAAGCGCCAAACCCAGTGACACAGCAACGAGAAATTAAGCTAGATTATTAGATTATAATATAGTAGATAGGAAATCCATTCAATATCGATATCAATAGCTGTCAATAGAAACCATTAAATGGAACAGAGAAGAAAAGATTACAAACCTTGAGAACAGATGAAAAGATTCTTCCGATTGACGGATAAGAGGCCTCTTCGCTTCACACAAACCTATACCGACAGAAAGAGCTTTATTCTCAGAAAAATGTAGTTTTCCTGATTCCATACATTGTTCGGTATTTTAGTCAAACTATAGATATTTCCCATTTGTAGGGTGTGCAGAGATACACTTGTACTCGTACATAAAAAACACATATTTCGATTTTGATTTCGCTAGACTTCATTTTATTATTTTTTAACGGGAATACCCTCTACATAGTCTATAGCTTGTTTCGCGGAAACCCCTTTCCCTCCCCCTCTAGTTGACACTCCACCTTGTCCATCCCATCGGCATATTCCATCAACATTTGCATTTGCCGTTAAGCCGCGGCGCCTTGTTCTCTCTCTCTCTCTCTCTGTCTCTCTATCTCTCTCTTTGAATGCAGCCGACAAAAACAATAATATAACAGCACATTTGCGAGACAAGAACAAGAAATTCGACTATTACATATTTGCTCTTTTCTCTCCGTCTCCGTCTTCTCTTTTTAATCAATTCACAAACCATCTAAAACACACACGAAATTAAACCAAATTAAAACCGTTAGGAAACATGAACTTGCTACAAGGTAAATGAAAGAGCACGATCAAAAGAATGCACATGTTTCATGCCACCCCCTCCCCACAGTGCGTTTCCGAACAGCAAGACAGTTGGAGACGTAAAGATAACTGCAATACGAGGAGATCTACAACACAGATCCCATCCTAAATCCCATGTCCGTACATCCAGTCTGCGATCTGTTATCGATCGAACACGTATTTGAGACCCAGAACTATATAACCAACTATACAAATCGAGTGGAAGCGAGTGAAAGTGGACTCGTCTCGGCGCTTATGCGGAAACCCATACCAACTGTCTTTTGGCTCGAAAACGCATTGTACTACTACTCTATTGCACAGTTATTGTTATTGCACAAACCCATAGAATAGTTGATGTGGAACGTATAGTTTAGTTGTAGATGCTGTACACAGACGGAATCACGCTTTAATTGTTGCATGTTTGATGGTCGTATACTTAAATTGTGGACAGCTGGCACCCAATGGGGTCGCACTTGTTGCATAGAACAGATGTTCAGTGTCCTCTGCAAACACTCGAAACAGTATTAATCAACATTCTCTACCATGTTCACAGACATACAAATGCTGACGTTGCTGGTGCCTGTACTGATTGGTTTCCTGGCCGATCCCAGCCGCCTTCGAACCTTGGCCAAATACCAGCGGCAGCTGCACGAGCAGGCCCTGCAGTGGCTGCTCAAGATTGGGCCGAAATACCCGAAGGAGTTCAAGGCACTGATGGGTCAGACACCGGAGCTGCGCCAGAAACTGGAGGCAGCCATACGCAGTCAGCAGCAGTCAATTAACATTGCCCAGAAGGCAACGGAAGCCCAGAGGAACGGTCTGCTGGCCAAGCCACAGAAGCCGACCATCAAGCTGAAGACGGACTTTAGCAACTTCCAATGAACACGAATACGAATCGTCATCTGTTAAAGCTGCTAATGCAATGCTTCTTTGTGCTCTATTAGATCTACTCACAGTCTGCTACAGAAAATGCTTTGCAGTGCAAATTATGAACATTCGCACATCGCTCGGGGAGGGGCGCGTTCCATTCTCCCTGGAGGTGTGCCTTTGTTTTTCCTTTGCCTAAAATGTACTCGTACTATAAACATACAGACACACACTCAAACACGCGATGAAAGTACCTACAACTTTATAAATTATATTTGTTAGCTATTATAATGAGTAATATACGATGCGATATAAAGTAAACAATAAACTTATAAAGGCAAGAAGTCCTCCTCCTCCTTGAAGCTCATCCCCTCATCTTCGCTGAGGGGCTCCAATTTCGGTTTCTTCCTCTGTGGCTCAGCCAATCGGTTGACATGTGCCATTTGCTTGACTGCAATTTGTCTGCTCAGCTCCTCCTGCGTCGGTCGTGCCCCGGATTCAATGTAGTTGGCCAAAGGTCTTGGCAAGGCCATCAGGTGAGAGGGCAGCTCATCGAAGAGATGCGTTTCAAGTCGGCTCAGCAGAATGGTGCGATAAAACAGGGCTCGCAGACGGTGCCGGAATTGCTGGATGTGCGGCGAGGACTCGTCGTAGGCTGGCGACTCAGCGGGGGAGTGCTTTCCACTGTCGCCGGATAATATGCAAATGGCACGGAATCCCATCATCGTTGACCAGTTGGGGGGCAGGAGTAGCGAGTCCTGGGATGGCTTTTTGTCCTTCTTTTTCTTTGGCAGCGTCTTGAGCAATTGGTTGTAGGAAACACACAATTGCAGGGGCATTGAAACGCTCTGAATGGGCTTCAAGTTCTTGGACGCTGGTGGCTTGTAGTTTAACGCCTCGATCACATATGCGAGATTCAAGGCATCCTTGGGTATCGAAAAGTGTTCCGACGACGGTGATGCCCTCAGTTGAAGATCGTAGCTATATTTGAAGTACTCATAGACCTGCACATCTATTTCGCTGGGCCCGACTTTTATGTTAGAGCTCCTTCTCTCCCCTGCTCTCGATGGACGCGTTTGATGCTTCGACGGATCGATGGAGTCAGGATCCTGCTGCCACACTTCCAGACACTCCGCCCAATTGTCAGCCGTGACGATATTGTTTTTATTTTTAAAACACCTTCGGCGCGGAAAGTCTGCGACCGTGGCCGAAGGATGCTGCTCTAGGAAGCGTTTTATTACCAAGAAACGCGTCCTGCAACTGGTCCGAGTGTGATTTCCAAGATGCGCAGCACAGTTCACCCACTGAGCGGCCCCGTGCTCCGTGACAAAATCCATCAGTTTGGTGTCGTCCAGCACCGACCAAGGGTCGGTCTTGGTGCGTTGGGCGAGGTTATTGTGGTATCGGGTACGGAGCTGTGCCAGCGAACGGTTGGGAAACAGAGTGCGGGGAAAGCTATTGAATTTACCATTGTACTCCTCCACGGCAGCAAAGAGCATTATGTCCTCCGTCGTGGTGAAGGGTGCTGCAATTGAAATAAACCGAAAATGTTTAGTTGGAGGAACGTTGGGGGAGAAAGCCCATTCCATTTCACACTGCTCACCATGGCTGATGCTTGGATGCAGCGTATACGTATAGCGTCCGATCAGAGTGGACTTGGACCTGCCGGGAAAGTGTTCCGACACCCGCTGCCAATTGATCTGGCCATTCACAGTATTCATTTCGACAAGACGCTTTAGTGTCTCATTGTCCTTCTCGGTCCATCGAACACTGGACGATGGCTCCAGGTGGTGACGGAACGCCACCAGGACACGCACGAAACACTGATAGTCCGATCGCCGATCCAACGCCGAAGCTATCTTCTCCCAGTTCTGCATGTGATTCGCTTTGGCCGCCGCCACCAGAGCTGCGTCCTCCGACGCACTCCAGTCCTCGCGGCTCAGCTGCGGATGTAGATAAACGCGCCACATTGCCTCTGAGCTGTAGGTAGAATGACGGAACTCCAAGTCCAGAGTACTGATCTGGGTCCAGTCGATGCTAAAGCTGCTGTCGGCGTTGGCCAGCAGACTGGCCAGAGACCGAACATGTCGCTCGATGGGCTTTCGATTGAGAGAGTTTGGAGCCTTTTCACAGGCGGCATGGTCCAGCAGCTGTAGTAGGTCAGTGGGTCAGTAGGGAGAACAATTAGTCTGGTCCGTGAAAGTTTCGTAAAAATGCGGCTCGTTCGGCCAAAGACTCACCTGTTGCTTGATGCCCATAATCAAATTCTTCTTGTCCAGAATAGTCCACACGTGTTTGGAGCGCATATCGAAGTCCGAAGGAAACATCTCCGTGTGACTACGCGCCTCGTAGTCCTCGTTATTCGGACAACTGCGTCCATCAATATCTCGAAAATACAAATTTCCCTTGAAGTGGAAGGTGGCTCCACGGCGGATCGCTCCACATATTCCATACATTTCAGTGCTTCCCTTATTAAGCCTGCTGTTACATTGGGTGCGCGGCTTTAGGCGGCGGATTAAAATCTCCTCGTTCCGTGCATATCGAGCCCGGACAGATTTCAGCAACGCTAGAACCTTTGCGCGCACTTGGTGCAGGCGTCGCTGCAGCTCATGGTTGAGCAGCAGGGCATTGGTCTCGCTCGGCTCTGAGGTGGCTATTAGCAGCGATGTGATCTCTGCCAGCAGTTGATTGGGGTTCAAACTAAGCAGGTTCTCGACATCCATCGCGCACGCATCGCTCGTTTTGTTTATATTGCAAATTGTGAAATAGTGATGGCCCAAAGACCAACTATCGAATTATGATGAGCAGGATCTGTGTTTGGTAAAAACCCAGTGCTGTCAACTGTTTAGACCAAAAATAGCTGTTTTTGTTGCAAATTTGAAACACATGGCTAAATTTAAAACTAAACAGTTAATTATTTGTCAGAATCGGACCTATAGCTTATTATCGGACTTATCCATTGTACCAAATGTATTTAGGCATTGCCTGCGCAACACGTATCTGTAAATATTTTAAATCTATTCTATTATTAAATGGCCATCCTATTCCTGACCTTGGATTTACCTATGTTGACCTGGGGTAAGACGTGAAAACTTCAGCCCAAGACGGCCAATAGCTATATTACCATAGGCATAAGCAAATTAGCAATCGAACTTGAAAAATATCCAAAAACTAGCTATAATAGCTGATTTGGTAACACTGGATATGAGTCACAACCATCGATACATATCGGAACATATCTATTGAAACAATGAGCAGAAGAAGTTCAAATTTGAATAAAGTGTATTGTCCTAATTGCAACACTGTTGACGCGACATGTAGAATTCCGAGTGAAAAAATTAGCCCAACTGGTTTGAGAGACCACCTCTCGCACAAAATCATTCGTATTTCCCCATAATTTCAAACAAATATTTAGCAAGACATCGATACATTCAAACTATCGGGGGAAGAGCTGTAACTGATGACTGGCAATCGGCCATCGCTGTTGGTTTGTGCAACAACAAAAGAAAAGAGAGAAAAAAAAAACGCGTAGAAGGGAAGTTGGCTCATTAAACTAACAAAATTCGCTGTAGATGCGTTAACATAACATGGACGATGTCCCGGTCAAGATAGTTGAACGCTATAAACCTCCGCCACCCGTTTACCAGCTGCCACAAACGACTGTGAACCGATTGGGACAATACAAAGAAAACTTCTACGAAGATCAGCCTGACTACCACTATGACTTCCAACTGGAGCGCGCTGTTCTGGACAAGGCGCACCGTTGGCATCAGTTACGCCAGCAGCAGAGGAAGGACCGGGAAAAGCGCCAGGAGCGACGCAAGGTGGAGCGTCAGCGCGAGATGGAGGCCAAGCAGAAGGAAATGCTCGGAGCTGTCGACTACCCCAGTGCCGACGATTTGTCATCCTCCGATGACGAGGAGAAGGTGGAGGTGGTGGAGGAAAACGAACAACAGCCGCCTCCGCGGCAGCCACACCAGCTAGAGCCGGAACAATCTGAGTCACACGACTCCCACGAACCAAAGTCAATAATCTTGTGCAATTTTCACAACATTTTGCAGCCGACGATCCTAAGCACGGCGCCAGTGGCCATCGCTCAGACTTTGCACAAGCGTAACAGCTCGCTTAACTATGCCGACTTCGAGTACAATATGAACTCAACGCCCTTTGATAATATTGAATTGAAGACCATCAACGATTTGGATGTCCTCGCGCAGGTGCTGCATCAGACCAAGCTCCAAGAGCAGAAGGAGCAACGGCAGCTCCAGCAGCAAGCGGAACAGATTGAGAAGGGGGAGCAGGAGCAGGACCAGGAGGAGGATGTGAAGCAGGATCAAGAGCAGAAAACGATGCCAGCTCCTGCTGCGCTGACCGTAACGACGTTGGCGGAAACCAAAGCGACGCTCGACAGCGTCAATTTCCATGTTCACTGTGATGATGACAATGCCTACAAGCATGAAGATAGTAACAACATTCCAGCCAGTGGCCAGGCGCAAAATGTAAACACGTCCCTCTATCAGACGCCTCTTTATAGCGTTTCGCAGCAGCAGCAGCAGACGCAGTCCCAGCCGCAGCAGAATCAGGAGCAGGCGCACTTCCAGGTAAGAAAACTACCGTTACCGCGTGTCACACACAGTCTGTATCATGGATTGACATTTCAGGTGTACCATATGCAAGGCTATAGCCATCCCTACTATCCCCAACAGCAGCAGCAGCAGCTCTACCACAATCAGAATAACTATTACGCTAATGGCTTTGGCACGCCCAACCATGTGATGCCGTCGCCATCTGTCTTGGCTCTGAGCCAGGCGGAGGCAGAGGCGGCCACCAAGTCGAAGAGTGTTCCCGACATCCTGCGAGAGCTGAAAACAGAGCTGCAGCAGGCGGAAAAACGCCGCACCCGCCTACACAGTCACAATGAGGAGCAGCAGAAGCCACATCTCCCATTGACTTCGCCACAGCGACTGGAGCAGACGGAGAAGATGGACAACCACACCTTTGGAGAGCTGGCTGGGCCGGCACAGAAACTAGTGAAACGCATTAGCAGCATGGGATTTCCCCTGGAGCGTGTCGCCAAGGTTGTCAGTCTGTGTGGCATCGACGACAAGAAGGTGCGGACGATGAGTGTTAGAATCCTCCCCAGCACTAATCTCCTTCTATCCTTCGCAGATAATCGAACACCTCATCCCCCTGGGCGAACTAATGGATCTCGGCTTCGACGAAACGAAAATCTCGGCGGCGCTTCTAAAGTTCGACAACAATAAGGACAAGGCGCTGGACTATTTAATCAATTAGTTAATTTGAAAATCTAACCATCCGCATCCCTATTCCAAGCCACCCGCAACCCGATAGACGCCAGGCTCTGTTGAATGTGTTTTTTTAATTCTCGTGAGATATTCTTTGCATAAGTTGAGAGAGTGCGCGGCAGTTTACAGAGAAGAGGGCACATCAAAGAAAGCTAATGCTAAGCAGCGCCTAAAGGTATTTCTATAACATCATCGAAGCAGTAGCAGCACTTGCAGAAATACCAGAATAAATATATATATAAGTTCATAAAGTATACACAAGTTTTTTGTGCGACTCAATTCATGCCCAGCATCAGCAGATTGATGGCATGCTCCACGTTGCCATCGGCCATGGTCAGATAGTTGACGTTCTGTGTGTGATTGATGAAGCCCATCGCGGCCATAGTGCGCAGCTGCTCGGTGAAGCGATGGCGGCGATAGCACCGAGGCAGGACATCGCTGTCGTCTCCACCAGCCGCGTCGTCGTCGTCGTCTACATCGTCGGTCGATGCCTCGGCTCCTGCAGAGGCCTCTACTTCCATGCTCTCCGCTGGCTGCTGTGCCAGAGACTGAAAAGCCCTGGCCAGCTCATTGCGAAACAGCTCCGAGGAAATGGAACTGCTGCCGCTAGCTCCTAGAGCAGAATTGCTACTACTACTACCGGCAATGGGGGCCGAGGTGGTGCGTGGCCTCTCATCGCCCTGCTGGGCTTCATCCGCGTTCCGCTGGGCGATGTTCGACAGCGAATTAAACGAGGTTACATTGGCTAGAGCATTGGCCAGCTGCTGACGGCTGATCTGCCGGATATTGGCCAGCTCATCGCGACGATTAGCGGCGGCAGCCACCATTCCACTGCTTCCGCTGCTGCTGCTTCCGGCGCCCAGGGAGTTCTCCTCCTCCGACGAGGTGGTGGACTCGGAGGCCGCCTGCTCTTGAACTACGGTCATTGAAGAGTGAGATTGATCGTCAGAAAAAAGCACAAGGGAAAAAGAATTGACTTACATTGGGTGGCGGAGCTGTTCCGAGCCAGCTCCTTGCGTATGGTTTCCACGATGAATGGGGCCGCGTCGCAGATCAGTGGATATTCGCGCACCAGATTCTGCACCACCTCCGGCTCGTGCAACATGTTGAACAGCACAGAGTCGCGAATCAGGGCCTGTGCACCCAGGTTGCGACGAAATTCCGGATACTCGGCCAGGATCGTTTGCAGAATGTTGAATCTGCAGCTGACACTGACCTGCAGGTGCGAGGTCAGGGAGAAGAGCTCCTGTATGAGCTTCGTGTTGATCTCGGATGCCGCTGGCGGAACATACGGCGTGTAACGCGTCGTTTTTCGGAAGCAGTGGATCACGGCATTCGGTTTGATGGCCTTGCTAAGAGTCTCCACATCGTCGAGTACTTGGCCATGATGGCAGATTTCTGCAGATTGGGGCAGATCGCAATGTGTAAGGCAAGGTAGATGCGTAGATGATGAGTGAGCACAATCTTAATGGCGATGCGCAATGCGTATGCGTCGTTATGTGCAACGCCGTGTCGGTCACTCACCCAATTCGCTGGCATCGAACTGCAGTTGAAGCTCCTTTGTGACGATTGTCTTCAGGTAGGCCACGTTTTGCTCCAGATCGATGTTGTGCAAAGGATGAACATCGCTCAGTTTGTTCTTGAGCAGGGCGTAAACTGTATGCATTGTTCGTTCTTCAGGCTAGTGCAAAAAATATTTGTTTGTGTCGGGGGTACGGGTGCTTGCTTCTATTCCAGTGTAACCGCGAATTTATCGTTAAAACAAACCATCCGACCCTCAGAAATATACCAAAATATACCGTCAATATACTGACACATTCAAGTTCTATTTTACATAGTCCTCGTTTTTGATATTCCGTGGAATATTACTAGCTATATAGAACATTTAGCCATGTCATCATAATTTTATACGATTGATGAATCAATTTTCTAATTGACTGGTTTATTTTAAACACTTGCTTTTATTGCATTTTGCGTATAAAGAGGTTTTAGCGAAATAGGTCAAAGCAAAAAAACGAAAGAGGATAGTCGTTTCTATTGCCTACGGGGAATTGAACCTACCTCACTATTGTCCCATTCAGCAACGATCGCTTGTTTTAAGTCCTTCAAGTCCTGCCTTGTGTAGGCATAAACTTTGGCTGCAAAGAAGCCCCACAGAACCTCAATTTGATTTAAGTCCGGACTCATTGAAGCCCACTTTATCAACGGTTTATTGTGGGTCTCAAAATAGCTCGTTGAGGCCCGGGAGAAATGAATTGGCACAGTGTATGCCGAATGTTGCGCACAATGAGTCTGGCCCATGGTTGCCTCATCCTTAAGAACGCTACAAGGTGTATGACCTATAAAGGGGGCTAGCCCGCTAAATCGGTAGGCCTTTCGAATAATCAGTACATATTTGACTTTTCAAAACCTATAGGATTTAGGCGGCAGCACAAGCAAGCAGAAGGCCAATCTCAGTAGAGGCGGCTGATCGATCACCAAATGCCGGTCCTTTGCTGGCCAGGATGTGGTCTGTGCTTTTAGCTACCACTCATATATTGGGTGAGTAGGAGTTTCTACAGTTACCGTTCGCACCTCTATAGTAACCGATTTGCTCCACGCAACAGCGTCCCACATAGTAGCCGAGTAGAAAACACTCGTTTGTGAAATATGTCGTCTAAGGAAACACAAACAGATCCGAAAAGGAGCAAAAAGATAGCTGAGGAAGAACCAAAATCAACTAAGAATGTGACCACACAAACTACGGTAGAAGCGAAGCCGAAACCAGCGCAACCAGCTGCACAGCTGATTCAAAAGATATTAGATTGCCAATTTGAAATATTCGGTATTGTGCAAGGTGAGCTAAAGCCAACACATCCGCAATATTAGAACAAAACCAAAGTCAGTTCCTTTGCAGGGGTCTCCTTTCGAATGGTAAGATTCCGATCAATGGCATTCACATTGGTAAAATAGTTACATTCGCTTTTTTTACTGATTTACTATTTTACTAAAGTATACGATGCGAAGGGCTGAGAAGCTAGGGGTGCGGGGTTGGTGCATGAACACCCCACGCAATACTTTCACGGGCCAAATCCAGGGCTATGAACCAGCATTTGAGGCAATGTAGGCGGAAAAAGCCGCAAACTACGTACATACCAATACTTAAATATTCTCCCTGCAGGCGTCTCTGGCTAGAGCACACTGGCAGCCCCACGAGTCGGATTGACAAGTGTATTTTTGGCACCACCAATATATTGCAAGAATTTACATTTGATTCGTTTACTATTCGAAACGAATAATATTTTTGATTGTATCATTAAAATAGCATACCCGTTGAGGGTGTTCTTACATTCGATTTCGCTCAGTCTGATGTGGTTGAGCAATGCACTGACAAAACTCAAATTATTTTATTGACCATTTGAAATTAGAACTCCGAGCTGATTAACTGCAAAAACAGAGACAGCCTCATGGGAAAAGCATCTTGACTCTCCAGATATAACCGATTGATATACCTTTTAGATACAATTTTGCTACCTGGTTAGTGTGCCATCGTTTTGCCACAAAAAATGCTTCGGTTCTTCGACTGATACCCTAGCCGGTAAATGTGCCTGGAGACGGCTACGAAAACTAATTTCGTATTTTGTCTGTCATGCTGTCGGCTCTTTTCTCACCAAAGTTAGCAGTCTAATTTCATATGACCATAAAAGACGTTGCACTTGGAACTATCGTTGTATCGAGATATCGCTATATAAAAATCGGCCGGATAATGTGGCCAAGCTTAAATTTGAAAAAATACCACCGGGATATCATTCATTGTTTTAATTTACCTGGCCGAACCAAAATAATTAAATAAATATAATTAAATTAAGTAAAAAAATTAGCCAGCATTTAACTCGGCGCATCTGAATAGAACTCTGAACGCCAGCGCTTTAGCTAGGCCGTAAACGCCGTCGCACGGTGCGACTTTCACTTTTTCCTTTTTGCAAAAGAGAAGATATAAAAAAAACAACAACAATATACAGACGACTACGAAGAGCAGAGCAGAAAGACAAGACAGAAAAAGAAAGGAAGAAGAAAAAGCCGAGCCAGCATGAGTGTGGAAAATACAAGACGAGACAACGAAACAAATGCTATGCGATCCAGTTAAGAAAATCTCTTCGATTCGAGCCCAGAGCTGCTGCGTTAAGGCGAATGTTAAGCAAAATATAAACAAACCATCAGCACTGCCAGCCAGCGTGTGAGGAGCGTTCGGTGTCTGTGAGTGTGTGAGTGTTATTGTGTTCGTGTGTTCCGTGCACGTGTGTGCGTGCGCTAGTGAGAATTTAAAAAATCGGAAGAGGGCCAGCATTTCTGTGTGGCTGTGGTGTGTACGTGGTCGGAGCTGCTTAAATTGGGTCAAATTTTGGAATTGCAGCACTAGAGAGCACCCGGAGAAGAGCCAGTGAGGATGGAGACAACTGGGAGTAGATCCCAGACGGCGCAACAGCAACGCACTCGGCTGGCCTCGTCCCCGAGTCCACCGTTGAATGTGAATCTCGGCGGCGGACCCAACGCAAACAGCACAAGCACCCTAATGGGCATTGAAACAGATCCTTTGCCACACGGCAGGAACAACAACAACAGCGGACACCACCGCAGCCACAGCATAACGAATGCCGCTGCCACCTCCTTTGTGAATCTCCTGGACGGGTTCACGTCCCGCGTCTCCACGGCCGTCAGTGTGGCAGGCGGAACCAGCTCGATGAGCCTGATGGATCGGAGCAGCCAGAGTGCGGCCAGTACTCCGGGATCGACGCATTCCATTGCCAGCCTGACCAGCATGGGATCGCTGGGAACGACGGCGAATGCGTTTTACTCCTCGATCGGCAGCGCCCTCAACTCGATAACTTCGCCGATACAAGCGGCTGCTGCGGCTGCCACCGCGACCACAACCGAGGTGGTCGTGGCTGCCGCCTCAGTGATCACAAATCACCTGAGCTCCCCCACCAGCGGAACGCCACCCCATGGTCTGGGCGGGGATGATGACGAGGACTGCGACGATTGCGAGGAAGACGAAGACGACGCCGTGGACAACGATGGACACATTGCAGCGCCCACACCATCCAAAAGCTGGGCAGAGAACAAGATAATCGTTCAGGAGATGCGCAAGAAGCTCTCCACTCTGTCCTCGATGGTGCCCACCAACGTCCAGTTTCGCCATCTGTCGGATGGTCGAGCCCGTTGCTACTTCGTCGGCTCGCCGCCGCAGAACTGGGAGACGACCTTGCTCTTTGCCGACATCAATATGCAGCAGCAGGACGAGCAGCAGCTGTTAATACAGCGTCTGGATGGCGACTCCAACGTCGGCATTCCCACCACCGCTGCAGGATCCCCAACCGGCGGATCAAGCCAGCCGACCTTTCACTTTGGCTCCGCGCATAGACCCAAGTAGGAATGCTCCACTTTCTGGTCCTGGTCCTGTTTCCTGGTCTGTAGCTTAATCTGGTTTAATTTTGTTGTAGATTGTCGTGGAATCCACTTTTGCAACAGCCCATACCCAGTGCCCATGTGAGCAGCACAAGCACCAGCACAAGTGGCAGCTCTTGTCCCTACGCCAGGGAGTTCCAGCTGCTGCAAGAGCGCAAGCGCCTCTCCACCTGGGGCATCACATGCTACGAGCTGCACAAGCCCTCCGGCAAGCTCGTGTTTCCCTGCTTCAACGATCTGTATCAGTGTCTGGACACGGGCTACAATGTAAGCAGCATCAATGAATCTCTTTCCAATCTAACGTCCTCCAACCCCCGACTAGTCTGGCCTGCTGTTTCCCACACAGCTACGCACCTGCCCGCAGTGGACCGCATTGGATCCGCAGATTTGTCCACAAAACTCTGACATGATTGCGTACATCAGTGACTGCGACCTCTTTGTCACCCACACGCTCAGCGGGCACGAGAAGCGTCTCACGTACACAAGCTGCGGCCGCCACTCCTACCCAGACGATGCGCTGAGTGCCGGAGTTCCTTCGTATGTGATGCAAGAAGAGTTTAGCCGCTATCAGGGCTTCTGGTGGCAGCCGCACTCTGACGATGGCATCTACCGCATTGTGTACGAGGAGGTGGACGAAACGGAGGTCTCCCTGTACACGTTTCCCTCGTCGACGGCCGTCCATGGCCGGGTGGATGAGTATCGTTTCCCACGCAGTGGCAGCACCAATGCCAAGTCCAAGCTCAAGCTCGTTCAGTTCGTACTGAACGAGTCGCTGCAGATCAGCGAGATTTGCATCAAGGATCTGCCCTACTCCCTACTGGCCGTCTTCAGTTGGCTGGAGTACATTGTCCGCGTCGGTTGGACACCAGACGCCAACTAGTGAGTAGATTTGGATAATCGTAGGGCACTCATCCTTCACTTTTTATTCGCCTACAGCGTTTGGGTCCAGGGACTGGACAGGAAGCAGCAGAGGCTTGACCTGTTCCTCATACCGCTGGACAACTTCTGCGAGTCGTACAGCAGCCAGGTGTCCACGCCCACAGACTCCATTGGGGACCACAGCTGGCGCAGCCTCTACAGTCGCACCATCACGCCGCTGCAGGTGATCTACACGGAGCAATCGGAGAGCTGGATAAATGTCCACGACATGCTGTGCTTCCTCGACGTCAGCGACACTAGCGTCACTTATGTGTGGGCCTCCGAGGAGACTGGCTTCCGGCATCTGTATCTCGTCACATCCAGTCTGGTTCTGACCAATGCCAATGGCCAGTCCGATGCTGGCACACCTGCTCCCCAGCAGCAGCAGCAGCAGCCACAGCCCAGCTTTGTTGAGCAGTCGGCCCTCCAGCCGCGCATCATCAACAAGGTGGCGCTAACCAGCGGTGAATGGGAGGTGCTGGCCAGGAATATCTGGGTGGATAAGCCCAATCAATTGGTATACTTCGTGGGTCTGCGCGACACCCCCCTGGAGAAGCATCTCTATGTAGTCAGTCTGCAGAGACCCGAGCACATACGCTTGCTGACCGAGCCGGGGTACTCGTACCTCGTTGAATTTGATGATGTACGTCTCATGATCTCTCGTAGTTCCTGGTTCATTTTGTCTCGTACTAATTTCTTGCTTTGTTTTGCCATTCGTCCCCCGTAGGAATGCTCGCTGATGCTGCTGGTCTATTGCAACATCCAGAGATTGCCCAGCTGCAAGGTGATGCGGGTGAACCAGACCTGCCAGAACGGCGGCGTCAACGGCATACAGATCTCACTGATGGGATACCTGCACGAGGGCGGCAAGCCGGAGCCACAATATTGCCCGAAGATCTTTCGGCCTCAGTTGCCATCGGGTGACATCGTCTATGCCATGGTCTATAAGCCCCACAACTTCGAGATGGGCGTCAAGTATCCCACGGTGCTCAATGTCTACGGTGGGCCTGAAGTGCAGACCGTGAACAATACCTTCAAGGTGGGTTCCTTGGCTGCAGTTTGCCGTATTAAATTTTTGATGTATTTGAAATTCTGTGTGTCTGGCAGGGAAAGCATCAGCTGCGTATGCACATGCTGGCCGCTCAGGGATACTGCGTGATCTGTATTGACTCGCGCGGGTCTCGCCACCGTGGCAAGCGCTTCGAAAGCCACATACGCGGCCGGATGGGACAGGTGGAGCTCACCGATCAGGTCGATGCCTTGCGCATCCTCGCCGACCAGCTGGGCTACATCGACATGGAGCGTGTGGCCATCCACGGCTGGTCCTACGGTAATTTGGTGTTTTATCTACTTTTAGTCGAATGGCATGGCTGCAATGTCTGTAATGATTTCTGATTTGTGGTGCTTTCAGGTGGATACCTCAGCCTGATGGGCCTGGTGCAATTTCCGCAAATCTTCAAAGTTGCCATTGCCGGGGCGCCGGTTACCAATTGGGAGTATTACGATACGGGCTACACGGAACGCTATATGGATCTGCCGCATCACAACGAGGCTGGATACTCGGCCGGATCAGTGCTCAACTATGTGAACTCCTTCCCCGAAGAGTGAGTGCTTGTCTCAGTCGGTGTTACATGACATTACATGATTGGGCTGAATGGCTGTTCTTGTTCTTGTTCTCTTGCAGGGACAATCGGCTGCTGCTGATTCATGGCCTGATCGATGAGAATGTGCACTTCTATCACACCTCCCGACTTATCAGTGCTCTGAACAAGGCCAACAAGCCGTACGATCTACATGTATTCCCCGAGGAGCGCCACTCGCTGCGTAATCTGGAATCGAATAAAAACTACGAAACGAAATTATTGTCATTCTTGCAAAACTTATGAGATTCAAAAAGCAACACACGAAACAAGATTACCAGCTAAGGCAGTAGCAGCAACAGCAGCACTCCCCAGCGTCCCATCCCCTCCTCTCCCATTCAATTAGTTTTACATCATTGTCTTTGTTTTAATTTAATATTTTTGTTGTTCTAATACTTGTTTTTATATGATAAAGAAACGAGAAAAAACAAACATTATTCGATTTGTAGTAGCGTACGTAGCGTATAACTTAGAAACTTAGAAAGAAAAGATTTAAACTGTAAGTATCCGAAGGAAAAAAACAATTTGTTTGGACACTCGAAGACGCTCCCTCCCGCACTCTACTCTGCCCGCCCCAAGCCGCATACTGTAATTAATTTGTATTTATACATAGGTTCTATCCGACTTCTATTCCTCCTCCTATACCCACTATCCTATTCATATTTCATCATTTTTTGTATCATTTGCGCAATTGTAAATTTATCCTTTTTTTTAAATTTCTAATCTTAAGTTTTGTTCTAGTGTATGTGAGTGCGTGTGCGCGTGTGTGTGTGCGTGCTAGAGTGTGTTCCTAAAAAAATAAGAAAAGAAAAAAACCTTCAACTTGTCATGCCCGTGGAGCAGGCCATCAATTAAATATATATATACACGAATATATCTCTTCGATTAACAATTTGCAATATACATACATAAATCGTTAAATGAGTTACTCAAGAATCGGCGTTTGCCAGAAATATGAAATATATATGTATTAATGTATGGCTCTATATAAAATAATCATTAATTGTACAACAATACAATCTGATAATACATACGAATATATGTATATTTATTGTTTAACAATTAAATAAACAGTTGTGTGTAACCCCCACTGTCTTCTCATTGTACTGCGGTGCCTGGGCTGGCGCTTGTATTTTGGGGTTTTGAAAGCATATACAGAGAAGGATATGATAAGGGACATTCTTACTTAGGAGGACTTAAAATCATTGTCAACAATTATTAAAATATTATCAAGAAGAGCTGCAAGGCCCAATCAATGCCAAAGAAAGTCAGTCCCTTGGATTTTCTTCCCAACATGTCTTTTATCCCAAACCAGACTCAGTTTTACGTGCCAGGAGCTTACCTTTCCAGATTCTACACAAATTGAAGCAGCAGCTATGTCTACAAATAATCAAATGGTGCTCCGCTCCAGATACGACACAACCTGACGCAGTAGCATCGATACCATCCATAGATTCCACACAGCTTGGTGTTTTAATGAAATTATTGAATAGTTAAAGGTACTATTGCCATCCGGTCTTGGTGTGGATGGGTTAGAATGTTATTCCAAATCGCCACTGCCCGAGTGTTCTTCCTCGTTATGAATCCAGCTGGAAAGCAGACGACTGGACCAATCGCTGTTCCAGTCGCCGGCGTCACTGACTTCGGACTTTGTTGGTGGCAGGTCTTACCGTGTTGCCTCTACAACCATTAGCACTCTATTGTATTGGTATTTTGGAAGGGCTAGAGCCTGGTCATGTGGATTACGCCTAGCAGAGCCTATACTAGCATGACTATCTCGTCTTGATTGGAAGGATACCTGGTATTATCCGGTGATTCTGGTGCTTCAGCGCAGCTGCTTTCTGCGACGTGACTTTTAGGTGTCCTGTGTCTTTAACTGGCTTGTCGGCTAGCTGCAGTGCCTCCTAACACGGCACTTCAACCGCCATCTTTTCTTTTGGCTCCTGTGGCATCATCCTACCTTCACCTGCCGTTTCGGTGGATTCGTTTTGCTACTCGAACACCTCCTTTGCTGGATCGAAAGGAGATGGTATCAAACTGCTGGTTTTTCAACTCATTTTACTCACTTTCTGCTTGTGTCTGCGGTGCCATCTCCGGCTCGTAAAGAGCATCCTTGATTAGAACAAAGGGTATTTTCATTTTAACAGAGTTCTGGACTTGTTGCGTGTGGAGCGAGATTCGTTGGGATGAACAAAAATTTGAAAATACCGGAGGAACTGGCATCGATATTTTGATCCGATATTATTTTCGAAATTTAGGGAATTGTAACGAAATATTAGTTTCAAAATTGGAGTTCTTGTATTCGAATTGGTGCAAAAGTAATACAGAAAAATTGTACAAATTATTGCTTATTTCTGCGATATATCGATCTATCGCACAAATCCCTAAGAGGCGAAGGAATTTTCGAGAAAATCATAATTATGAACAACAATCAGCATTTCGGTGGCCAGGTAAGTACTTTTTTCCACTTCATAATTCAAATTCCGCGCATATTTCATGCAGCTGAAAGGCATAGAAAAATTTAAATGAATGCGTTCATTCCACAACGGCCATCAGCCACGGCCACAGCAAACAAGCAAAATATCAGAACAGTAAGAATACATTTAACATCCAGAAACATTGACTCCATTACCACAGCTATTTTTGCAGTCTTATATGTTTTCCCGTTTATGTAAATACATTTGTTCCTAGGGACCCCCGTAATCTCCATCCGTTCGGCTTCGTATTTATTCCTATGTAGCAAGCCTTTGAAAAAGTTTCTATTGTTAAAAGTCATTTTTGAGCATGGTTATTCAATATCAACTTGGGTTGCCAAGCATTAGTATTTGTCTGTTCCTTAAAAAAGAAAAGTATAGTTTCAAGATTTGAATAAATTGTTGAAAAGTTTTTGCCAGTTATCGCATTATTGTATCGCCGCGAATTCTTATCGGTTGCTACCTTGAATTTTGTAAGCCGGCCGGCAGACTATAATGCAAAATCTACTAGCGAAATTCGACATTTAGGCATTTTCTAGTGGATTTCAGGTCAAATCTAGCTAAATTCAGCGAATTCCGCCCTTGGTCTGAAATTAAATTATTTTCTCAAGTTGCTTGAATCGCGTGCGATAGTTGCGTCTGCATATCGATAGGGAGCGAAGACAGTGGAAATAGAAAACACAGAAAACCGACTCCATAGTGAAGCGTGCTCGTAAGAAAAATCGGCGAGGTAAGGAAATAAAAGCGGCTAAGAAAATTGAGAATTTTCCCTGAGGAGAGCAGTGCATTTTAGTGAATTAATTTTTTGGAAATTGTTTGTGCACAGATAATACTATTTGCGTTTTTCATTTCCCAGTTAAACCATTCGAAGACGCACAGTGAAAGACGCAATCGTAAAGAAGCGAAATTTGCTTGCGTGTGTGTGTATTGGTAGGGGACGCCACTGCAGAGCCGAGAGAGCGCGCGCATTCCGCGAAGAGACGTCTTGCCGCAAGAAAACACGAACAGCAGCAGCAACAGCAACAGCAAAGCAGCCATGGAAGAGGTTTCGGTAAAGAAGCGCGGCAGGCCCCCAAAGAACCCTGGTGCAAGTCCGAGCGTGGTGGACGCCGCCGCCACGATTCCGAAGAAGCGTGGTCGCCCACCAAAGAGTGCTAAGGCTCAGCGCGGCCGACCGTCAAAGAAACCAATCAATCTAAGCGAGAGCGAGGGTGAAGGGGATGGTGATGGTGATGACGATTCCTATGAGAATGTGGCAAAGACTGTGGCGTCGCCCCAACCGGCGTCCAAGGGCCGCGGTCGCCCACGCATCAACAACTACGATGCTGAGGTCCCAGCTAAATCAAAGACCACATCGTCCAAGCGGCGCAAGCTGGGCCGCCCCAGGAAGCATCAGCCCAGTGAGAGCGAAGGTAAGCCTTAGTTTGTGAAAGATTTCCCTTTATTTAAATTCCCATATGCTGTTAGATGAGAAGAGCGACGATGATGATGAAGAGGTTCGTCGCCCGCCGGGACGTCCTCCGACTGGGTCCGTCAATCTGAATATTGTGCGCACCGGACGCGGCCAGGGCAGGCCAAAAACACATGTGGAGAAACGTCCCGCTGCCCCGGCAGCCGAATGGACCGGTGATGGACCTCCACCCAAGAAGCGCGGTCGTCCAGCATTGAACAAGCAAGCTTATGTGCCAACTGGTCGTCCACGAGGTCGTCCAAAAGTCAACAAGCCTGTTGAGGAGGAGGACGACGATGACGAAGAAGAAGAGGAAGATGACGACTCTGTGGAGGAGCAGATCGTGCAGCCTGAGAAACCAGCTGCCGCTGCATCTTCCCCTGTAGTTAAGAAGCGTGGACGCCCTGCAGGACCAAACAAGTCGTTGAATGAGGGAGCTCCCAAGCCGCGCGGACGTCCCCCAAAAGCCAATCACAGCGCCTTGAACCACGACCAGGATGAAGACGATTCCAATGATGATGCCGCAAGCAAGAAACCAGCCGATCGCGCCCGCGCTTTTAATGACGCTTACGAAGGTGCAGCCTCTTCGAAGGATGACTCCAAGTCGACATGCGACGGCGAGGCCGCCAATGATACCGCCGAAACCGTTGATTGCGAGTCCGATGCCGCAGGTCCCGAATCAGGCACTGCCTAAGCATCTCGACATTTATATTAATTTTAGGCATACAACAAACATAAGAATTAATACCTTCGGCACCACAGATCACATAATACATGAAAGGATCCAGAAACTTTCCATTCCGCCGCCGCCGCCCCCCCCCCCCACACACTCAAATCAGGACAGAACCCTCTATAAATACTTACATATATAGGGCTAAGAAATTTTGAAATCGGAAATGTTTGTCCCCGTATATTTATTTTGCATATTCCATTGAAGTATTTCAATCGTTTCAAAATGCAAATGCACAATACATCCTATTTCTAAGAAAGAAAAGGTGAGAAAAAAATGTATTTCCTCTATAATTTTCACTAAGAATTGGTCGAAATGACTACACCGTTTAAAAATTAAAATACACATGTATGTATATGTATTAGAACATGTCGTGTTTAAATTATGGGCGGGTTATTGATAATACAGGGGTGGTCAAAAGTATTTACACAACGAGTTTTTTTTTGCATGTTCAATTTCAGGAGCTTTTCCTGTGGTTGTTGAAAGCTAAATAAAAAAAAAAACTTTTAGGCCAAAAAGATTGATCTACTAGCAATTGAATGAGAGAAGAATTGGAAAAGATAACTGTTTGTACGAATAAGGAGAAGCAAATTAAGTGATGCTTATCAGTTGTCAAAATTATTTACACACATTTTTAATGCTGCAGAAGTATTTACACAAAACTTTAAGTTAATTTTTTATTATGATTTAATGATTTTTTTTTAATTTGTTGGATGAATAATAATAATAATGATTAATATTTTGTAATTCCACCTTTGGCATCAATAACTGCTTGCAACCTGGCTGGTACTGATTCCACTAAGTGGCGAGCATATCCAAGTTCCAATTTCGACCAAATTTCCTTTACTCCCTCGATGGTAACGTCGCGTTTTCGGTTTTTATCAATTGTTCTTTGTCCTTTAATAAGCGACCAAACATTTTCTATGATATTGAGATCAGGGCTCTGCGCAGGCCAGGGAAGAACAGCCACATTGAGATCTCGTAAAAATTTTGTAGGTGCCGATCCCTTGTGGCATGGAGCATTGTCTTGCTGTAAAATCCAGTCGGAGATGGGAAATAGCCTGTCACCAGACACAAAAGCATGTTCATTCAGTATAACAAGATACCGGGTCTGATTCAGAGTGCCTTCTATTGGAACAAAGTCTCCAAATCCGTAGTAAGACATGCACCCCCAGAACATCACTGTGCCTCCACCAAATCTGTTTAATGGTTGCACTGCACTTTGTTTTTTTGCTTGTCGTAGATGCATAAATCTTTTACAGAATGAGCCTTGGAACTGGAAAGCTACTTCATCTGTCCATAAAACATTGTACCAAAACTCCTTTGGTTTTTTAACGTATTCCAATGCGAATGAGAGGCGTTTTGCTTTATTTGCCTCGGAAATTTCTATTATTTTTCGCACTGTATACGTTCGTATGTCGATCTCCTTCAATCTCCGACGTATTGTAGCATCACAGACTTTTTTGCCAATCAATTGTTGCGAATCTGCAGACAATTTAACTGGGCTTATCGACGGACTTTTATCGACTATGCCAATTAAACGCCTACATTCCCGTTCATCCATCGCTTGTTTCCTTCCACTTCTTTTTAAAGTCTGTAAATTTCCATTCGTGTCCTTTTTCTTTTCCAGATTATAAACGGTTTTTCTACAAATTCTGTAAGTTTTGGCCAGTTCCGACGCTGAAACCCCGCTTGTAAATTTTGTAACGATCTCGGATAGAGTTTCAACAGACAACTCCTTTGTCTTCACCATTTTACTAAGTTAATTTTAAATTTTAAATTAAATTTACTTATTGCAACTGCAATAAACGAAAAAACGACTGCACTAAGTCAAACCAAGTCTAAGAATAAGCTCTAATTTGCATTGTGTAAATACTTCTGAAGCAATGCAAATTTGTGTAAATACTTTTGACAACAGTTCACATGCTTCTATTTTTAGCCCATTAACAGTTATTTTTCCAATTCTTCTTTCAACCAATTCCTAGTAGATCAATCTTTTTGGCCTAAAAGTTTTTTTTTTTATTTAGCTTTCAACAACCACAGGAAAAGCTCCTGAAATTGAACATGCAAAAAAAAACTCGTTGTGTAAATACTTTTGACCACCCCTGTATAATTATTACGGGCTTGGTTCGTCAGAGCGACTGCCGGAAAAAGAGAGAGACGGTCGCAAGGAATCTGATAAATTACATATTGGAGCTATCAAAGCATGAGCTAGAAATGTTAATTGAAAAGGGGGCGAAATTTAATTTCATTTCAAAATCGAAGGAGTACAGTACCGGGCAGAAGCACCAGAAAAGAAACTATCGCTTAAACGCACTATCGTTTGCATGGCTATCGATTGGTCTGGTTTCGATATGCGGCCACACTCACAAACAGCTGTTACGGCTCTTTTTTGGCGTTTTTCCTTTGGTGGTTTTGTTTATCGTTCTCTCCGCTTCATTCATTTCAATCGTGTGTAACGAGCGGGACATAAAGCAGTTTGTAATATGTAAATTTTGTTCAAATAAGCTAAGGTGTGTGAATATGCAAAATACAGAATATATAGTCGATAATATAAAAAGATAACCCCCATATATAGCGTTACAGTATTGCATTCATAAAACAGCAGCAGAATGATATTGAAAATGAATATAAACAAATTCAAAACAGAGGATAAATTAACAATGCTAAACAATCTGTGTGTGTGTGTGTGCGTGCGTGCGGGAAAGAACAAGCAGCAAAAGCCGCGTGCTTATGGCAAAAAAAAGTAGCTGTCGGCCGCAAAGCAGTTGATAAAAAAACGCCGCAAACAAAAACAAAACAAACACCATTGTGTGTGTATGTATGTATGAGCGATGTGGATGGAAATATATGGCTCTGTGTGTGTGGTTCTATGGCGTTGGCGTCTAATCAAATTTAGCATGCCTAAAATCGATTGATAAATAATGTATAAACAATTTGAATGGCCCATGCATGGCCGATTTTAATTGATTTTGAGAGGGACTTGTAAGAAAATAGAATAAAATAAATGCTGCAATTTATTCGGCTTATTTGTGATAATTTCCTCATTTTGTAAGTGTTCTTTCCAACCCAAAATCGGGTGAGAATAGCGCCCGTCTCACTCTCCCTCCCGTGGTTTTACCATAAATTAGTATTACATTTAAACAATTCTATGTAAAACGCCGTCTGCTCTTTCTCTCGTTCTCATCTGACGCTCTCCTCTCTCGCTCTCTTGTTGGACATGCTCTGTTCTCTGGTTCTCTGGAACCAGGTTCTGGTTCTCTCAGCGGTTCTATTCTTTTGTTGTTGTATTTGCCCTGTGTGTCTTTGCATTTCGCTTTTATTATCGTTCTGCGACGGACGCGACGTTGAAGAATTCTTAGCCGTATTCTTCTTCTTCATCCTGTGTAAATAATTGTAATTTAAATAACTTAAATTAAATACAAAAGCACACATTAACAGAACTTAAGCGTGTCGTGAATGGTTTTTAAGTGCATGTGTAAGTGCCAAAAAAAGAAAATGAGTTCGATTCGATTCCCGTATTTTTTCCTCCTGCCTCTTTTTACATTGTCATCATCGGGTTTCCTTTTCGACTGCGGCAACCAACGGCGGCGGCGACAGCGTGCCATGTGTGTGTAGAGTGTGTGTATCCAGACCGCTTTTTATATTTAAACAAGTATAAAAATAGTTTGCAAAAAAAAAACCTGCAAGAAACAAAATTGTTTTTCCCCAAAAGGTAAAAATCAATTAAATTTTTTGGCCGGGTCGCTACCGACTGCGCGGTCACAATTTCCGACTGCAAACACACATTAAAGAGGAACAGAATATAATGAATATTTTATATTTTAGTGAAATATTTTTCCGATTGTGCGTTCGTGTGCCAGTGCGTGTGTATTTGTCTGTTTTCTTGGATGTGTCGTCTCATTATTCGCCTTGTCCCATCATTTTCTTCCTTGGCAGCGGCAGCGGCGGCGGCCATTTGGCTGCTTCTTCTTTTTTCTTACATTTGCACTGTGCGCTCTCTTCAGTGTGTGTGTGCGAGCGAGTGCTCTCTCAATATCCTCTTTCCCTCTCTGGGGACGCTTGCATTTGTGTACACGAATTTTTCCCAATAAGAATACATTGGTCGCCGTTTAACAACCGTATAATAATAAAAGATGAAATAAATAATGAATTTCTTGATGGAATATTCAATAATTCAGTTCAATATTCATCAGCTGTATCCTCCCTGAGCCAGCCACGCCCCCTCCTTTGCGCACTCACTCTGCTCCTGTTTCGTTCTCGTGCCTTTGTTTTTCACATGTCTCTTTTACGGTTTATCTTTATGTTTGTTTTTATATTAAATGTGTGCGTGTGACTGTTCCTGTGTGTGTTTGTGTGTCTTCCAGGGGCCCCAGCAGCTCTCTCGGAGGGAGGCAACTTCTGCGGTTTTCGCATGCTACTGCTGCTGCACTTGCTAGCTCTGCTCTGCTCGGCTCGGCACGGCACGGCTCTCTCTGGCCATGTTATGGGGTGGGTGGCCTGGCCAGGAGAGGCTCCTCATAAACAAGCCGACCCACAGACGACAACGTTTCGTTTCGCATAGTTTTTCGTAACGTAACCTCAAAAGTTGCGGCGCCCTGCCTTCTTCGTTTGCCTGCCTGCCTGCCGCCATTCGTCGTCGTTCCTCGTCTGCTCTGCCGGCTGTCGCCGCCGTAGTTGCGTCTCCTTCTTGTTGTACCTCTGTTTATATGTGTATGTTAATTCTATATGTTTTCCATTTTCAACCTCTCTCTCCTCTCCTCACCCGTCCGTCCGTCCACCCACCCCCTTTTTTCTGCTGCCGCTGCCGCCGCTCGCCTTGCGTTGTCTTTTCGCTTTTGATACCCTGTATGTTTATGAGTATCTGCACGAAAAGCACCCCATATTTCAGGTTTTAAAAATGCAATTAGATTTACATATCTACTTTACCGATCTATACTTTAATAGCAATATTAATACCTGGAAAAAACAGAACTACTGTACAGACACGGGCTGCAATGTTCTCTCTGCCAACTCATTTATTTTCTTTCATATCATTTAAATAAAAAAAATCAAAGTTAATTGCAAACTGTTATCTCACTATTTCGTAATAATAAATCTCTGGGTAACGGGTATCCCAGGGTCGAGCTCATCGCGCTTTTTTCTTTTCTGTATTTTTCGCGCATGATTCAGCTTTGCGTTGTTCTTGTTCTTGGCTCTGCTTCTTTTTATTCTTGTACGCTGACTATCTGCCCCCCTCCTCCTCCCGTTCACCAATCGTTTCACAGTTTTGTTATTGTTTTCATAATGAGGAAATCAGTTCTGGCATTTGTTGTACTCATCTTTCTGTCTTAGAAGAATTTTCTTTTATTGAACATTTTCCGTGCCATGTTTTGTTGCTTGCTGCACCGACTTATGCCACAGGGTAGCAGTCTGTGTCTGCGGCACAGTGGTGCGTGTTTTCAGTGGAGATTGGCTTCTTCTCTGGGCTTTCCTATGTTCTGATGTTTCATAATTCTGCCTGTTTGACCCCCTTCCAGGCATTGTTGTGTAGGAGACTGGCCCAACATCTTGGACTCTTGGAGACGAGAATTAATATACGTTTTCCCCCATCTTTCTCATTGCAGTTTGTGTATATTTTCATCATTAAACGTCGTGTAAATTAAAATTCATCCTAAATATAAATAATAAACAACTTCATTCAAAAAGAAGGAAATTTCACAAATTCTCAAATAATAAAATCTGTAAAAATTCAACCAATTTTAACCAGTTTTCATACGTAATTTTTGTTAAGTCCCAAACAACAACTGTGCAACTGTGTAAAATATTATTCTTAAAATTTGTGTTAAATAGTGTAAATTTCTGTAAAAAAAAAAAAATATATTACATCCAACCCCGACAACAAATCCAATAAGTTTTTTTAATATGAAAAAATAAATAAATAAAAACGAAGAAATCTCAAGCAAATGCTGTAAATTAATGTTAAATGTGTTAGGCTAAAAAGTTGTGCTCCCTAAAACAACAACAACAACAACAACAAAATCAATTAAATAATTTGTGTACAAATAATACAGTAAATACCACTGTGCAGAGTGCAGTGAACGGATCGATCGAAAGTTTGAGAAGCACTGCAGGTGCGAGATCATAAAAGGGAACGTCAAAACGTAACGTAGCGAGGGACCACGTAAAATCCGCGCCCTCTCGATCGTCCGTCGTCGTCGGCGGTGGTCGTCGTCGTTCCGTAGTCTCTCTCGCAGTCTTCGTTCTTCACAGTTAGCAATACGCGCCCCCTCGTCAGCTGCGACAGCTTTGAAAAGCCGTCAAAATTGAGCTCTTAACCGCGCCCACCATTTCCATATCGACGCCCTCGCCGCAACACCATCCGCAGCATCAGCAGCAGCAGCAGCATCATCAGCAGCAGCAGCACCACCACCAGCAACAGCTCTACCAACAACAGCAGCAACAACATTACGGTCCAGCACCACCCTACTTTCAACACCTTCAACAACAACAACAGCAGCAGCAACAACAACAGCAGCAACAGCAACAGCCGCACCAACAGCAGCAACAACAACACATGAAGTTTTTGGGTGGTAACGATGATCGTAACGGCCGCGGCGGCGTCGGCGTTGGCTCGGACGGCATTATAGGCTCGTCTCGTGGCGGCGGCGGCGGCGGTGTGTCACAGGATGTCGCCGATGCAGCCGGCGCTGCAGCGGCCGCTGCCGTCGGCTACGTCTTCCAGCAACGTCCCTCGCCCGGCGGCGTCGGCGGCGGCGGAGTGGGAGCTGGCGGCGTAGGCTCGACCTTGCACGAGGCAGCCGCCGCCGAGTACGCAGCCCACTTTGCCCAGAAACAACAGCAAACGCGTTGGGCATGCGGCGACGATGGACACGGCATTGATGTGAGTATGGGCGGAGGGTGGGTGGCTAAGGGGGAACAGGATGGATAGATCTGCCATAAGCCATAATAAATAGCCTTCCATCTTTGGAATTCCCTTGCCAAGGTTTAAGTATTTGTAATGGACAAACAATGACTAAAACTGTGTAGATTCTTCAGCTCTTCTGGTTTTCTGTGGCTGCATCTGGGGCCAAAGCAGAGACACCTGCAACAGCATACAGACCTGCAAATCAGAATCAGAATCCTAGGCTTTGGGGCATTCGTAACCATTCGCTTCTCTTGCGATGCATGGGCAGGGGCAATCATCGGAGTTTTAGCACACAAAATATTGTGTCACTCTTTTCGTGGCGTGGGGAAGGTTTTGTTCTCGGCTGCGTTGAGCAGCAGGCAGGCTGTCTGGAGCGCTGCACCCCCAAGGGCCAGGCGGGTGGTTGCTTGTGTAAGTTCCGAAAGGTCGCTGCCTGCCAGCAACGGTTGCATAAACAGCTTATGGCACTTGTTCTCCTTTTTTTGGCAATGAGACAGCAGAAATAGATCCAAGGGAGAAAAGGGGAGAGATGTGAGAACCTGATTTTTATAAAAAATTTTCGTATCTGGTATTCGCAGAACCCGGATAAATGGAAGTACAATCCCCCCATGAATCCAGCCAACGCAGCTCCGGGCGGACAGCTGCAGCCTGGAAACGGCAGCAATGGCGGACCTGGAGCCATCGGAACCATTGGCATGGGCAGCGGACTCGGCAGCATGGGCGGCGGCAACGGCGGAGGAGGAGGCGGTGGCGGCTCCGGCTCGAACGGCGGGCTCCACCATCCGTCAATGGCAGCGACAGCCGCGAACATGGCGGCCATGCAACAGGCTGCAGCCGTGGCCAAGCACAACCACATGATGTCCCAGGCAGCCGCTGCCGTGGCGGCCCAACACCAGCAGCAACAACAGCAGCAGCAGCAACAGCCGCCGCATCTCCAGCAGCAGCAGCAACAGCATCATCTGATGGGCGGAGGAAACGGCCTGGGCAACGGCAATGGCCTGGGAGTCGGTCTCAGCAACCAGCAGCATCCTGGCCAGCAGCAGCAGCAGCCCGGCGGTCATCCCGGACAGTACAATTCGAATCTTCTCAGTCATGCCGCTGCCTTGGGGCACATACCCCCTTACGCCCAGTCGGGCAGCATGTACGATCACCATGCCGGTGCCATGCATCCGGGCATGAACGGGGGCATGCCCAAGCCGCCACTCGGCCCGCCCGGCGGACCCCAGGACTACGTCTACATGGGCGGACAGCCCACGGTCCCAATGGGCGCTGCCATGATGCCGCCCCAGAACCAGTACATGAACAACTCCGTGGTGTCCGCCGCCAACCGGAATGCAGCGGTGAGTAACCAACCGTAAACCAATCCCGCCCCGAGTAATCGATCAACCCAGGCCAGTGATCGATCCCTGATTAGAGTTTTTATCCCGTGTCCCGTCACTTTTTGGCATTGCCCGTTTATTTCAATCAATAGATTGAATTCTCATAGATATCTATAGATCTATTCTCATAGATAATATGTTATATTTCCGTGGGTGTGGGTAAATACATATTTATCCACAATATTTGATGAAGAAATTTGAGTGCTCAATCCTTTATTTTGGGTACTCACAGTCGTGTATAAGAATGTATCTGTGAAGTACACACTTAGATGGGTATATCGGGAGAGAGACTCGAGTCGTGCATTAGTGTTTTGCCTCATGCACGCGACATTTATGTTGTTTTTGCATTCTATGGAGTGCTGCTTTACGTCATTAAATCAAACCGATTGAAGCTTCAGATCCTTCAAGGGTTTATTTTATTGCTGAGGAATGAGGATTAACAAATAACTTCGCCCAATCATTTATTAATGGATAACTTAACGCAGGCCCTCGATGGCCCATAACAATAGTTTTATGAGGCCCAAAGAAATATGGAACTTTCAAGAGAGGCTCAAATAAAAGTTGAGCAATGAAAATGAACAAACTTTTCGGGGGACGACCATAAAAACCCGGCGAAACTATTGATTAACCCAACAAGAAAATATCATCAAATGAAATAGAATTGTTAAAGTTTCTCCGTCGATTTTCTTTTTTTTTTTTCCCAAAACTTGACATTTGAACATATAAAGGCTCCATTTGTGGGTTCTTTCTTTGCCCTTTGGCGAGCAGTTTATGTAGAGGACTTTTTCATTGGCTCTGTCGATTCGTTAATTTAATTGGAAAGTATTCAACGTGGGTTCAACGTGATGATGAGGTGTCTGGATGGCCCTGAATTGTTTTAGATGAGTCATTGGCAAGGGGTCCGTTCCCAAAGATAATGTTGCCGTCGAACTCGACCCTCAGTCATTTTATGGTCGCCACAGCAGAATGGGGCATAATAAGGCCATCACAATTCCCGTTTGTGACAAAAATCAATTTAATATTGATTGATACAAATAAGTATCAACATTTTCAAAGTAATTATCGCACAGTAACCCCGTTCGTCTAGGGAATTGCGGCAGAAATGTCCCATAAGCAAACGGACACATTCGATTTGAATGACCCGAACAGAGGCCATTCGCCACGAGCGATTCGGGTCTCGGGATAGCGATGCAATCTTCAAAAAATAATTGCCATAGCATAACCTGCAAAATACTGAGAAAAATATGTACGTACAATAGATGGTCTGGAGATCGTATAGTGGAACGACTCGTCGTTTGAACAAAAGGGAAAAAGAAGTGTTGAAGACTTCATTGCTGATTTGATAATTTCTCCGTAGCAATTGTGTGCAGCTGTTCTTTCGCTGTGAGTTTTCTTGGTTAGTTTTTCTTGTTGCACGGGGGTTTGTTTAGCTGTTCTGCCTGCCTGCCATTTGTTGTCTGTGTTGTTTCTGTGGATATATTTTCTTCACTTTTGCGTGGAGTCTCTGCTCTGCTGCAGCGAATGTAGTGAGAGAGAGAGAGAGAGAGGGTGAGAGGGAGATCCCATTCCGGTTGCAATATTTCAGCCTTATAAAGCCAGAACATTGCACATGCCACACAGACCAGACTACACTTGGAGCACTCCTCACATGTCGCTCGGCGGCTGGTTGGCCAACTTGATAACTTGAGAACTCTCTGGCCAAGTCCCCGTAACAAACAGACTATTGGTATTTTACCTAGAAACCAACAGACCAGACCCCAGACCGACCGACCGGCATTCGCAATCAATTCGCCTTGCAGTTTATAAATAAAAGAATTAAATACTTACTTACTCTCTGGACGAGGACTTAATGAGCTGTGGCTGCTCGTCTGCTTTCTGCTCCTCGTTATGTCACAATTGTTTACAGGAAAAACAATTTTAATTAAAGAATTTCACTCGTTTGGTTATCTGCCTTCTACAAGCCAGCGCTACCTTCGTCTCACTCACTCACTCGCTCCATCTGCTGGTCCAGGTGATTCACAGTGCAATGCCATTTCCTTTTCACTTCCTTCGCACAAACACAGACACACACACACGTAGGCAGAGACACGGACATGGCACTTGTGCTGAAGTGTTGGTTAGCGCACAATCGATTATGTTTTTATCAAGCAAATTGTCGGAAAAAAAGGGCTGCAGGTAGAGCAGCACTCGCAATGCCCTTTTCCCCAAAAGTGGACCGAAAACGCCTTGAATGAGGCGAATTGTATGCAGTAAGACTTAATATTGAACCCGCTATTAGTATTATTAATATTATTTAAAACCGAAAAGAGCATTTAAACTTCACCTTAATGTTGGATCTTGGGCAACCTCTTTTATACGGAAAGTATGTATATTTTTTGCTACAACTTCCTTTTGTGCAATCTCTCTCTCTCTCTCTCTCGCTCGCTCGTCACTGAAGTAAAGTATTTATTGCATTTATGCGAGACGAAAAAGGCAAAAGGCAGCAGCAGCAGGAGGATAGAATTCCAAGCAGGACGATGACAACAAAAAAGCTTTCCCTCTCTTCCTACTTCTCTCTTTCTCTCGCTGTCCTTATGTTTGTACTCCTACAAAAAAAAAAAAAAACTCGCCAAAAGAGAGCTTCGACAAAGTTATTGTTGCTGGTGTACTTTCAGCTCTTGTTGTTCTTGGTATTTTCCTTCTCCTTTTGACGCTTCGCGCTATTACTCCACTTTTGTCGAGCTTAATTTTTTCCCTTGCTACAGTAAGCACTGAAGTGAGACGTTAACGTTGAAGGTGTGAAACAATACGCACAGTGGAAACTTGTCAAAAGAAACTAAGATCAATTTCAATATCTGATGGCATATCATTTACCTAATGGGAGTCTTCTCTGTAAGACTCCTATAGGGAGCTTATTACTCGAATAAATTAGACCATTTGAATTCTTGAGTGTATTTTCCTTGCGAGTGCTTACTGTAGCTGTTGCACTTGTTTGCCAAAGGGGCGGGGGAAGCAGCAGCAGCAGCAGACAACGTTTGCCGCAAGCCCCCCAAACCGCCTCCTGCCATGTTCTCGACCGTCTCTTTCTATCCTTCCCGCTTCCACAACTATCTTTCCGCTCTCTGCGTGTGTCTGACGCCGCGCTCTGCTCTCTTGTTGATGTCGTAGGTCATTGATTTGCGCTTAACAGTGGTGTATTCTGGTTGAACGAGGGGGAAGACGTGGAAAAGTGACAAGTCGAGTCGTGGAGACTCGTCCCCCTTCATTTTTTTTTTTTTTTTTTTTTTTTGCTTATTGTTTCAGTTTTACTTTGTTCTTGCTCCCTGCATGTGGTGCATTCGCATTTCTGCGATTCTTTTTCTTGTTCTTCTTCGTCATCGCCGTTGTGGTGTTCCTTTTACTTGCGTTTCTTTCTTTCATGTTCCCGTTCCCTGCTACTCACCCCTATTCACTACCTACCCGTTCCTTCGCCTTCCTCTCCTTTGTTACTTTTTTCGAATGCTGTAATGATTTATGTGTGTGTCTGATTTTGAGCAAAGCTTTTGCTCTCGCTCTCTCGCTCGGTGGACTATTCTGTTCTGCCAGCGTTTTCTTTCTGCTTGGATAATGGGTCGACAGCGGCGTCGTCGTCGTCGTCGGTTTACTAATTGGAACATCGCTGTTAAGAAGCTTTTTGGAGCGTTGTCATCTCCGTTTTGTATTCTTTGAGATTCTTCTTCTTTTTTCAACTGAAAATGCAAATATTTGATGTTTTCGATATTTTGCGCGAATTGATAGGCAGGAAATCACGTTTAAACCTACAAAGGCAGAATCATATTTTCAGAGAGGAGTTGGGATTTATAATTTAAAGAAACTAATGATATGAACTACTCTACCGCTCTGGGGTTAAATAACCCCATGAATGCGGGGTGTTTCTTGCAGTTTTATTGTGCTTCGCATTTTCTATTCTTTCTTTCTTCGTTCGTTCGTTCGTTCTTTCTTTTGCTCTGCTTTTACCTTCCATCGCCCCATTGAGGCGCACCAACGTTTACGTTCTAATTGAACAAACGCCGCGCTCTGTTCTCTTTCACTCACTCCTCTTGCCCTGCGGCTCATCTCATTCTCTACCACCCACCCTCCCTCCCTCCCTCCTAATGGCTACCAATTAGCTGGAAATGCTTGCAATTTACCAACATCCAAGACGCTTTTGATGATAATGACGGAAAATGTGATGTTTCTTGTTGTTGCGTGTGACCAACCAAGGCGCCAAAGCCAGTGGCAGAGGCATAGGCAGCGGCAGCGACGTCGACAGCGACAGCGACTGCGATTTAGATTGATTTGCATTGCCGGCTAGACCTGGTTTAGTTCTCACTCTCTTACTCGTTGCTCTCTTCTGGCCTCTACATATGTACTGTACACTTGTGTGTGTTTTTATTCCAATACTCGTATTTTAACTGTCTTTTGGCACGTTCTTCTGACCCATCTTAACCGGGTGGCCAAGGTGTATTCTTGCAAGGTTCCCGCTGTTCTATTTGTGTGTGCCTCTACCTATCTTTTGTGTTCTCTTGTCATAGTCAAACAAATAAAACTGAAACAAAATAGGCGACTATCGGAGGAGCGCACTCTTCCAATGCCTCACCTTTTCATAAATTGCCCTTGCTGTTGGCCAGCTGCTGCGCTGCTCTCTCTCTCTCTCTGTACGCTTCCTCGACACAGTGGCGGAAAAAAGTCTAAGCAGGACTCTGGAGATGGGAAAAATGGTGCTCGTATGTTGGTTGACTTTTCTCCGCCACTGTAACTATCCCCCCCCGTACTCAATTGCATTAATTAAATACAAATTTGAACTACAGCGGCAAATTGTTTGACAAATTAATTTCTTACTATTACTCTGTGTTTGCAGAGTCAGACAGTGTTATTTCAAACGAATTTAATTGCCAGCCACTAACGCGTTAGCACGAGAGAAAGAAGAGGAAAGAGAACATGGCGTTTTGCATAGAGTTTGC